CGCATGTCGGAATCTTTGGCACGGCCGTCCCACACCCAACAGCAGCAACGATGCACTAGTGGAATGGTAGCGTCAAACACAGGATCATAGAACTTATCCTTGTGCGTACATACATACGGAGTCACATGACCACGGCTCATTGCCCCAAGAAGGGAGGCGGCGAGCGAACGAAGCGAGCGAAGTGTGGCATCAGTGACGCCTGGCACCGCAGCGCCATGGCCGCCGCACGGCATCAATCCCGTCCTCCATAAACCCGCCACCCGCGCACCCCCCGCCGACCTCCTCAGAGCGACAAGCCTCTGCCCACGCATGTCAAGCTGCCGTCTCCTACGAGCCTCCATCACCCGCAGGACGCAACGTCCATACAAGTCGTGGCCGAGATTGCGCATATGCTTTGGCTTCTTGAAACCCAACGAGCGGCCAGACAAGGCAATGTTTTTCTCAGCGGCCACGCTCGAAGCAACGAAGCCAGACTTGTTGGGCTGCGAGAAGGGGCCAGTCGGCGCGACTTCACGGCGCAGTTCACGGGCCGCGGCTAAGACCACCTTGGACTCTTTTATGTCGGGTCCGCCCCACTGCGGGGGCACATCATCCATGGGGGCTCGAGCCCGCGCCGAAGGGAATCGCTTAACTACTGATTGGACAGGCCGCATCAGAACAGCCAGCATCACCGACGACGCTGCCGATCAGCCGGCTAACATCCCTTGGGAACTAACATGGGCCTCGGAGAGGGGCCCGAAAGCGTCAACCCGCCTGGGGGCCGCGTAGCTCTGGATGAGCACCCGCCCCATGCTAAGCGGGAACTGGACCTGGCGAAGCACCTGAGACAAAACCGACAATTTAATCATCTCATAGCACTTCACCATGTCTAGCAGCAGCGAGACACAATGATGAGACCTTGCCTTCGCAATCTCCGCTGCTATATTTCAATCAAATGCTGAATCGCTTGAGCTCATCCCCCTCCCAGCACCCCAGAACGCCTGAACCCGCCCCTCCTCGCGCGCCGACCTGGCAGAGAGCTCCCATTTCATGGTCTCTGTCCTGCGCAGGCGGCCCCAGAGCCGCAGCAAAGTATCTAAGAGGGCGATCAGGCGATGGCCGCCGTCTGGCTTGGCCAGCCTGACCAGGCGACTGACCAGCCGCCCCGTTGGCCAGCGCCCGACCCTCTCGCAGCTCATGAAAAGGGCGGCGACAGCCAGCATTATGGGATCCGACAAATACTGCAACGATCTCGGGTGTAGGCTCATGCGCCCGACAGCTGTGCGGGGAGGAAAGCTGGCAATCGCCGCTCGCACGTCGGGAATCGTAATCTCGGGAAGCGGCGGCCAATCGTCGAAATCGGGCGGAAACTCGGGCGCTCGACATCCGTGAGTCGACCATATCTCGGCCCGATCCGAGCACGTCGGGTCCGCCAATTGAAACGGCTGCGCCCGCCCGGTGGCCTCGATCGTCTCCTGTATCCCTCGGACCGTGGAAAACCTATGAGCCTCCCGAGACCCGCCCAAAAAACTGCTCCTAATCCAGGCTTTCCAGGACTCCTCCTTCAACGCCAAGAACCTGGCCTGGTGAGAGTCAGCCTGGTCCAGGATTCGCTGAATCAAATCTTCGGTGGCAGGGTCGCCGAGGGCCGCTAGGCCAGAGAGAAAAAATGTGCGCGTCAGATGGTCCAGCGCCTGCAGGGTCGTCCTCTGCCCCGCGACGTTGCTCATGAACGCGTGCCGCCTTCTCCAGCAGGTGCAGCTGCTGGACCTCGCCCTCCTCGCTCAGCCTCGGGATGTAGGTTGCGAGGGCCTGGTTGACCCGCCTGATCTGCCGCGCCCATCGTGCTGCGACCGCCCACGCCGTGTACTCTACGTCCGCCTTCGGCAACCGAGTACGCACCACCGACTTCACCTGCTTCCAAGCCGTCTCATGTGGGCCTGCCCGACCCTCATGTTCCTTCCGCGTCGGCCCCATGATGTCGTGCCTGTCCAACAATTCCTGCTCGATACCGTGCACTATGCGATCCCAGAAGATTGCGAGCTCGTCGGCGGTAGTCGCTCTGCCCACCTCGTTGATGTAGCCCGTCCAGTCCCTAGGTTAGCGCGCGCAGCCAGGCGTCGCCGTCACTGGCACCGCACTCGGCTGCCTAGCCGCACGCACCCACAGGACCGCACCGGGCCCTTGCATCTGCACACAAACTGGCCTGTGAGGTGAAAGATTGGCCGTCATACAAACCTCGGGTGCCGATGTACGAATAGCCATGTTCGCACTCATCACAAAGAAGTCGATCACCGTGCCTGGTATGCTCTGAGTGCACGTGGGAGTCGTGGTGGTCACAATCACGCCGCCGAAGGAAGCCGCCCATGCCTTCATCAGCGCAGGCCGCATATTGAAATCCGCACCCAGCACCCAGTCAAATCCGAGAGCCTGCACCCTATGAATATAGCTAGCTACTTCCGTTAACAACCGAATATTGTTGGGCCCGAACAGCTCGTCCACCCACAGGTATGCTGATATCGCAATGAAGCCGCCTCTCATATTCGAATGAATGTGGGCTGCCACAGCTCTAGCAGGCACGAGTTCCCCCGACATCGCCAGCGGCGGACACGTGACCTGCACGTTGGAAGGGCACAGCACCGCAACCCCCCCTCGAGATCCTCGGTTCTCGGTTGCCTCTGCTGCCGACCACACACCATGAAACCCTGCTGCTGCAAGCCTGGCCTGGAATGAGCCCAACTTGTCGCACCGCAGATGGTGCTCCCGGCAGCAAATCACTATGGGCCCTGTCCCAAGACACGGCTCCTCTGCCTCCAGCATCTCCGCCAGAGGACCATGAGAAGAAGAATTCACTGTAACGATCTGCATCATCATGCCTAGGATGAGGTACACCAGACTATGCACTGCACCGCTGCTTCTTGGCAAAGCTGGAGAGGGACTCGCCCGCCCTCTTGACAGCCTCGCGCAGCTCGCCCTCGTCCTCAGGCACCTCCACGTTGACCGATTGTAGGAAGGCCCGCAGCACCTCGGGGTCCCCGTCGGCGTTGGGGATCCAGCTCGGTGGGCCTGGTGCCGCGACGCCAGGCGCGGCTGCGGGGGCGGCCGCACCACCGTGGCCTTGGCCCGCTGCCTGCTGCTGCGCCGCCGCCTCTGCCGCCCTTCGCCGCTGCTCAGCACGGTGCTCCGCCTCAGCCGCCCGCACCTCCTCCAAGCAGCCATGTAGCCTCGTCGCAAGGTCGCCCGACCCGCCGAAGGCGGCGAGCAGCTCCCCCAGCTTGTCCACCGTGATCTCTTCGGACGCGACTGGCAGCACCTGCTACAGCGAGGGCTTCTCGCCATCCTGCGGGCGCGGCAGCTGGGCGACCAGCTGGTAACGTGGGGAGGGGAGGAAGGAGGAGGAGGAGGAAAGAGGAGGAGGAAGAGGAGGAGGAAAAGGGGAGGAGGAGGAGGATAAGAAGGAGGAGGAGGGACGATCCTCTAACCTCGATCCTCGACCCTCGATTCTGAAAGGGAACGTTCGGGGGACTTGGCTCAAAGGGGAAACATCGCCCTGGAATCGGCGAGACACCGCCGATAGATCGGCGATGGGTTTCCGATAGCGAATCCGCACGCCCCTTGGCGGCGAGGTGGGCAAATCAGGGCTCTATCGGCGATGTATGGGCCATTGGATGTCGATGCATCGCCCCCCCCGAGCACATCCCCGCCCCCGATGGCCTTCGTTCCATAACTCAGAGATCCGGCGGCCATTCGGACCGGTCTTGGCGAACGGCATCGCGAGGATGGAAGGCAGCCGAGAACTTGAGAACGCGTCCGAATATCTCGAGCTACGGTCCGCCCTCAGCCTATGACCCCCCCCCCCCCAGCGTTGACACGGAGATCCCCCCCCTGCGGAGCAGCGGGGCGGCCTTCGGAGGAGGCGCATAAGGAGGAGGAGGAGGAGAAGGAGGAGGAGGAGGAGGAGGAGGAGGAGGAGGAGGGGGAGGAGGAAGAGGAGAAGGAAATCGAGGAGGAAGACGAGGAGAAGCATGACGAGGAGGAGGAGGAGGAGGAATAATTATAATAATAAAACCAATAATACTACGACTAATAATGATGATGACAATAATAATAACAATAACACTCATGATCATAATAATAAAAATAATTATAAGCATACTACTACTAACACTAATAACCATAATAATGATAATACGAATAATATTATTAATAATATGAATAATAATAACAATATTAATAATACTAATAATAATATTAATAATAATAAAAAATAATAATACTAATAATAATAAACCAAATGATGATAATAATAATGACATTAGTAATATCAAAAGTTAATAATACTGATGATACTATTAATACTGATAAAAAGAATACGATTAATGATATAAAAATAATAGTAGTAGTCGTAATACTAACAATGATAATAATGAGACTAAGAAGAAGAAAAGACGAGGAGGACGAGAAAGAGAAGGGCGAGGAACTTTGAGAGGGGAGGAGGAGAAACAGAAAAAGGGGGTGTAGGGAGAAGGAGAAGGCAGAAGTATATAGAGGAGGAGGAGGAGGAGGAGGAAGAGGAGGAGGAGGAAGAGGAGGAGGATTGATAATACTTACCGTGGAGAAGGAGGAGGGGGAGGAGGAGGAGCGACAATAATTATTACTTGGGGGGATAAGGAGGAGGAGGAGGAGGAGGAAGAGGAGGAGGAGAAGGAGGGAGGGAGGGAGGGAGGAGGAGCAGGAGGACGAAGAGGAAAAGGCGGAGGAGAACAGAGAGGAAAAGGAGAAGGAACAACATTGTCGGAAGGAGGCGACGGAGGAAGGAAAGGGGGAACAAAAAGAGAAATGACAAGGAGAAGAGAAACTGGGAGAAGCAGGAGGAGGAGGAGGAGGAAGAGGACGAGGAGGAGGAGGAGGGGAGGAGGAAGAGGAAGGACAGGAGGTGGAGGAGGAGGAGGAGGAGGAGGAGCAGGAGGAGTGGGGGGGAGGAGGGGGGCGGGGAAAGGAGGAGCACCGCCCGCGCGGGCCTCGGCCACTCGCCCTCGAACGCGCTCCGGTTCTCGGCGACGGCCACCAGCTTGGCGGGCGCCGCCGCCGCGGCGGGCGCTGCTGGCTCGGCGGGCGCCGCGTCGGCCGCGGCCGCTGCGGGCACCGCCGCCTCGGCGGGTGCCGCGTCGGCCGCGGGCGCGGCGACGTAGAGCATCTTGGCGTCGACGGTGCCGCAGTACCTGATAGATCGATTTTCTCCTCCACCATAGATCAGCGTCGCCGCCATCGCCATCTTCATGGCCATCGTCATCATGAGATTCGTCATAATCGTCGTCATTGTCGTGGTCATGATCCGCATCATCACCATCAACATCATCAGCATCATCATCATCGTCATCATCATCGTCATCATCAGCATCAGCACCATCCTCAGTATGAGATTCCGGCGTTCGTTTTCCAAAGTACCCGATGTGCGAAGTGTGCGAGGAAACGCTGGCCAAAGGGCGGCCAGGGGCGTCGGGGCGCAGCGGCGCTGGTGCTGCCGCGCGGCGCCCCAAAGCCCCAAAGACAGAGAGCTCTCGATCTGTTCCAACCTCACCGTGTCTTCCACATGTCTGAATTCGTACTGCCCCCCGCAGCCACCCAGCACCGCATGCAGCTGGAACGACTGGGGCAAGCTGTTAGACACGCTGTCGGCTGTCAGACAACATGTAAGCAAAGGACAGGGCGGCCGCGCCCATCTGGAGATAGTGAAGCATAGTTTTAGCAGTCTCCCGACGCCCACGGTATTGCAGCAGCCCCAGGTTCTGAAACGAGCGGAAGTGATGGATGGCCCCGCCTCATCAAAGCGACCCAGGAGCGTAGGGCGAATCGCTGATGCCGACGGGGCCCTTGAGGTTGATGAACCTCTGGGTCCGCCCGTGCAGCTGCCCTGGGCGCAACGCTGCCGTCGGCGATAGGGGGCCAAAGGCGCGCTTTATCAAGTTCAGCACCGCCGGATCGTCGATCAAGACGCTCTGGGACTTTGGCCCTCGGACCGATGCCTTGGCAGAGAGAACCACGAGTACGCTTGTATTGGCGTCGCCTCCCAGGTCGCCCGACAAGACGAGGTGCTGCCTGAGGGCATTTGCGACCCCGCTGGGCCGCAGAAACGAGTGGACGGCGAGGAGCAGGCACGCTGCTGTCCCGTCCCATTCTTGCGCCTGGGCAGCGACGGCCAGGGTCAGGAGCACCTCAACAAGCATGTGATGGGCCTGGTGTCACCACCACGACCCCACCATAAGTTGGAGGAGAGAAGGAGGTGGAGGAGGAGGAAGAAGAGGAGGAGGACCCCCTTCCCCTTCTACTTATGGTGGTGGCGGTGAAAAAACAAGCCAACCCGCATAGGCGTGCGCATCTCGACTGGCTCGACATTCCGCCCGCGAGCCACTGCGGCCCAGGCTGGGCGCAGTTTGGTGGTTGGCCGGGGTAAGGAACGTCACGCGCCAGAGGATAAGACACTCTCAGAAACCCCGCTCTCTGATGCCCGACACCGTCAGCTGGTGTGAAAGAAAGCGGGTCCTGACCTTGTGGGCCCTGGGAGCGACAAGGTACTTCGTTCCGTGTTCGTTGTCATGTCATTGCTGCCGCTTTTGCCGTTTGATTTGTTGACGTTTCCCGCGACGTTGTTTTGCTGTGCTCATTGTTGAGGCCCGGCCCAAATCACAATGGGCTTACCAGATCCGAGCCGTTTTCAGAGCCACTCCGAACGTCCTTCGGATCCCAAGACTGCCCAGGCCGTGTCGGTGACATGTGTTACTGCTTCGGCGAATTGTTGATTGTTCCGATCTCACAGTCAAGCAACTTGTTTGTTGAAAGGACCTGTTCAACAACAAAACACACACACACACACACCAACACCAACACCAACACCAACACCACCACCAACAACAACAACAACAACAACAACAACAATCACTTTACCCGAACGCTCAGTGTTCTCACCAGTGCCAGGGTTTTCATGCGACGCCAGCCAATACCCCCACTTCGTGGGGGGGCAGTGCAAGCAAACAAACGAACAAAAAAACGGCCCTGCCGTTTCCAGGGGCCCACCAAGGCCCTGATGAGAGCGGTTCCGGGGCCCCGTGCGCCCTTACCCTGGGGCCAGCTTCTCCCTCTGACTCTCCTGGGGCCCATCTCCGAGATCCGACGCCGCGACAGATGGCCGCGTGGTGCAACATCACGCCTCTCTGGGGTATTTTGCGAGCCCCGGGCCCGACACCAGGCGGAAACGCCAGCTGTGAACACGCATTGCTGGATCCCCAGGGCCAGGGAGCCCAGAATCGAACCGATAAGTCGGATCGGCGATCGCAATGCATCGGATCGGCGGAAATCGGCAACCAAGTCGGGCGGGAAATCGGGAGGCTGGTGTGCCTCCAGTGAGAAATCGGAGCCCAAATCGGAACCCCAAATCGAATCGAATCGGAACCGGAAGCCATCGAAGTCGAATCGGCGGGAAAAACCTCCATGACCCGCTTCCCCCGAGGATCCGCCCGCCTCGTGGCGAGCCACGTCCTCGCGGGCCACGAGGGCCCGCCAGACTGATGGGCAAATCTTCCACAGCCACCACCAGTGGTAGGACGGGGGGATGACCTCCTCCTCCTTCTCCTCCACGTCCTCCTCCTCCTCCTCCTCCTCCTCCTCCTCCTCCTCCTCCTCCTCCTCCTCCTCTCCTCCCTCCTCCTCCTCCTCCTCCTCCTCCTCCTCCTCCTCCTCCTCCTCCTCTTCCTCCGCCTCGGATGGGAATGTCCTCCTCCTTCTCGTCCTCCTCCTCCTCCTCCTCCTCCTCCTCCTCCGCCTCGGGAGGATGGGGAGGTCCTCCTCCTCCTCCTCCTCCTCCTCCTCCTCCTCCTCCTCCTCCTCCTCATCCTCCTCCTCCTCCTCCTCCTCCTCCTCCCCCTCCCTCTCCTACATATGGTGGTGGTGGTGGGACCACCAGCCCAGCAAGATGCCACAGGACACGGCAGATCGCGAGGCCCGTCACAGAACGACTCCGCAGAACGGGCCGACCCTGGGAAGAGGCCGGTGTCACGCGGGGGGCCAGGGAAGGCTCGACGTCTGAGGTTCTCGGACGCTTCCGTCGGCCCTCGGCGGCTCTGCGCGCCGCACCAGGGCGGGAATGGGCCCCCCCCCGATCGCCCACGGGCCCCTCCTGGGGAGAAGCCCGCTGCCCAGGACCCGGATCCGGAGGGATAAGATCGGGTGTTGCTGGAAGTACCCCTGGCCCAAGGTGCCCCCAGCGTTCCGCTCCAGTTCGGAGCCCCGTGGGGCCCTCTGGGCCTCGTGAGGGGTGCTCTGGAGGCCGTTGGGGCTACCCCGAGAATCCTGGGGGCACCCTGGCCCAGGGGGCACTTTTAGCAACACCCGATGAGAAGGGGGCGACCTGCTCGGGGGCGGGGAGGCAGCCACCCAGAATCGGCGACACCTCGCCCCGAGGGGTCCGCGACGGGCTCTGGGCAGCGCCGCCGAGAGCCCCGTGGGCGGGGCGGGCCGCCAGGCCCCCCTTCGGCGAGGGACGGGCCTCGGCGAGGGATGGGCGATCCTGCGAAGTCTGTGCGCCCTCCACTGCGCCGATCCCAGTCCCAAGGGGCTGTGGGCCAGAACTGTGGCCTCCTCCTCCTCCTCCTCCTCCTCCTCCTCCTCCTCCTCCTCCTCCTCCTCCTCCTCCCCCTCCCCTCCCCCTCCCCCTCCTCTTCCTCTCCTCCTCCTCCTCCTCCTCCTCCTCCTCCTCCTCCTCCTCCTCCTCCTCCTCCTCCTCCTCCTCCTCCGGCCGTCCGAGACGATCTGGGCACCCCCGGAGGCTTCTCGGCGAGGCGCAGCTGCTGGAACGCATCCAGAGGCGGGAAGGCCGCCAGGAACCGACCAAAAATGCCAGAGAACCTCCAAGTTCGATCCCCGCTTGCGCTTGTCCCTACCCGGCTGACTGGAGAAGCCAAAAGATACCGATACCGCTACTCCCCGGACCTCTCCCAGGGTGCGTTTTGACCAAAATTTCGATTGGAATCCAGCAGCGGCGACGAGGGCCTCCCAGGAGGCCCAAAAAGCATCAAACGAGGCAAGGAGAGCGGTATGGGTCACGCTTTCTCCCCTGACCCCTGAGCGTACGGTCGGGAATGTTTGCTCAGGCGGCGGCGGCCTCGGCGACACGCAATGCCCTGCGAGCGGATAGCGTGTCGCTACGCTCCGCGGGGCGGGAGGCTGGGAACACACATGGGACGTTGACGCTTGGAAATGGGGGCATTTTTGTGAGTGCGTGTCGCGCCGAAGCGGTGTAGGCAAGAACCAACGGCGCGACACGCTGAGCAAACACGACCACAGATCTCCACACAACTCGTCATCAAACGCTTGGCGAATCAAACAGTCGTCAGGCGAGGTGGGAACGCCACCCGAGCCAACCTGCGACAGGCAAGCCCATGAAGTGAACCATGGCTTGAGAAAGAAATCGGCTGACCCCCCTGTCGGCGTGTGTGAGACGTTTTTCTGTTTTCGTCGTCGTCGGCGTCGTCGGCGTCGTCCCCGCCACCGCCGCGCCGCCGTCGCCGCCCCCCCTGTGGCTGGGCTCTCCTCCTAAGCGAGCAAGCCAAATGGAAGTCAAACAACGTCGTAATTCATTCGAAGGGAAGCCCCCTCCCCTTGATCCCTTCCCTGGCGGGGGGGGGGTCCAGGGAGGGGTGGCTGGGGGGTCCCGGGGAAGGGTGTCTTGCGGGTCGTGACCCTCCTCCCCGGGGGGTCCCCCGTGGACAGAGGGGACAGGGGCGTAGTCCCCTTGTGCACAGGGGGAACTCGGGACCCCCCCCCCCCGCCCCTCCCTTTGAGGACAAGGGGACCGCCACTTCCTGCTGGACCCCCCACCCCAGGAGGCACCCTCCGCACTCCTACCTGCCCTTGCGGGGTGTTGTGAATCTTCCCACATGCCTCCAAGAGCCCTCAGATCCGCTACGAGGCGGCTCCAAGTGGCCGCGGAGCTCCCCACGGAGTCCCCAAGAGGACCCCCCAACAGAGCCCCACAGGCTCCAAGAGAGCCCCAAGAAGAGCTCCAGAGCGTGAGCGTCGTCGTCGTCGCCGCCGCCGTCGTCGTCGTCGTGGGCGTCGTCGTCGTCGTCGTCGTCGTCGTCGTCGTCGTCGTCGTCGTCGTCGCCGTTTCTCTTCAAAGTCGGCGGCACTGGCGGCAAGGCCTTCCCAATCGAGAGATAGAGAGAGAGAGAGAGCCAGAGGCTGGAAAGCCGACGAGAACGGACGAGAATGTCAGAGAACCTTTGACTCCAATCAACCCCAGGAGATCCCATGTCTCGATGGCTTCAGTGCAGGGAGTCCTGGCCTTTTCCCCGGGGCCGGCTTTTCATCCAGAGCCGTTTATGGAAGGTCCCGGGGCCCGGCGAGGGCCTCCGGAGGCCGAGAAAAGCCAAACCCTTGCCGTCATGAACTTATCCCTGCATCAACCGTGTTGGGGAAGCTACGGGTACGGATACCGCTACCCCCCGGACCTCTCCCGGGGTGCGTTCTGACCAGGATTTCGAGGCGAGTCCAGCGGTGGTGACGAGGGCCTCCCAGGAGGCCCCAACAAGGGGAAAACGGGGCAAAGGTAAGGGTATGGGTAGCTTTTTCCTCCTCTGACCCTCAGCCGCATCCCGCCCTGGTGGCATCGGCATGCATATGCGACGCCAGCGTGGAGAGAATCGGGCTCCACATCGAGCCGCATCGCCGATGCATCGACGATAGGGTGCGATCCTCCGACCCCATCCAGGAGGCTTAGAGTGAAGGGACCCTGGGACACACAAATAAATAGATACAAATGACAGGATTCCCCTTATTTTCCCATATTTCCTGGGTTCTTGCCTTTCCCCCCCCCACTTCCCACATATCTTCCCATCACTTCCAAGGAATCGACGATTCATTGTGTCTGTGTTTTTGTTCACTCCTGGAAGAGCCCTGGCGTCTGTGCCCCTGGCTCGTGAGGAGGAGGAGGAGGAGGAGGAGGAGGAGGAGGAGGAGGAGGAGGAGGAGGAGGAGGAGGAGGAGGAGAGGAGGGAAGGAGGAGGGAGGAGGAGGAGGAGGAGGAGGAGCAGGAGGAGGAGGAGGAGGAGCAGGAGGAGGAGGAGGAGCAGGAGGAGGAGGAGGAGGAGGAGGAGGAGGAGGAGGAGGAGGAGAGCGCCGCGCGCCTGTCCCACGTCTGCTTGCGCCGGGCGCAGCCGGGCTCGCCGAGGCCCTGCTGCTCCGCCCACGCGTCGCGGCGCCAGGCCTGCGTGCGCATGGGCTGCTTCGGGCACCCGGAGGGCATCTTCATCCTGGGGGAACAGAAGGACCACCCCGAAAGGTCTTCAGACCTCTCCTCAAAAATCTGATTATTTTTGTCGGCGGCTGGATTGAAGGACTGGGGTCCCACCAACAAGGGGTAACTGTCTAGATGTTCCGCGGCACCCGCCGCGCAACAACGACGACGACAGCTACAACTACGAGGAGGAGGACACCCGGAGGGCATCTTCATCAAGGGGAAACCACAGGTTCGGTGGCAACTCATGGGAGCCTCCCATATTATCTTGGCGGCTCTTGCGAGTCGACGCTCATCAACAATAATTGTCGCTAATCGACGCTGAATCGATGCTTCAGTCGATTCTAATCGACGCTCGCCGACGCTAAATCGGTACAGATCATCGACTCCCAGACGCTAATCGACGCTGGTCGACGCTAATGCAAGGCTCCCATGATTTGCGACCGAACAAAAAAGTACCGTCGGGCCGCTGAAATAAGGAACAGCACGTACGGAACGCACAGAATGACCTGAGGAGCACCGAACCCCTTTCGCACCCAAACTGTTCCTTACTTCAGCGTCTTGACTGCCCTGAGACCCTGGCGGCTAATTTTTGTTCGAGCCGGGCGTTTTCGCCAGGTTTCGAACCACGGGACCCTCACAGATCGATCCGGCCCGAGAAATGACGCAGAAAGACGGGGTCTAGGGCTCCTGTCGTGATCTTTCACGATGTTTCAATTTTTCGACACGTCGGCTCTCAGGGAAGGTACCGATACCGCTGACCCCCCGAACCTCCCAGGGTGCGTTCTGACCAAAATGTCGAAGCGAATCCAGCCGTGGCGACGAAGGCCTCCCTTGGGGGGCGGCCGGGGTGTCTGAACTGGATGGGTCCCTGGAAAATCGATCGAGAGGGGGGGCAACGCCAAACCCGCAAAAAAACACATGTCCACCGACTTCTCCATGGGGACCATCTGGTGCAGCTTCTCACTCCAGATCCGTTTTTGACGGTCCCTTCGGGACGAAAACGGCCCCTGGAGGCCGAAATTCGAACCCAAAACCTCGAACCTCTTCCCCCCAGTCTTGCCGGCTGGAACCAACGCTGGGCCATCTCATACACCCAGGTGGTTCGGGCCAAAAAAAGCGAGAAGGAGGGAAGGGTGGTGGTAGCGGTCACTAGAGGCCTCCCAGATTTGGTCATGAGTAGATGGGGTCGAAGACTTGCGTCGCATCGTCGGTGCACCACTGGTCACAGGTGCATCGGCGAAGACTCGGCGACGTCGGCGGTGCATCGGCGACGCAGGCGTGGAAAAAATCGGGCTCCACGCCGAACCGCATTCTCGATGCATCGGCCATGCGGCGCGATCCTCCGACCCCATCTACTTATCTGAGAGGACTTGGAACAGCGCGTCTATACACTAAGATATCTAGGCTCTGTCCAATGGGCTTCGCAGAAACGCCACAGGACAACGTATAGTGTAGAAAGTTATGGCTGGCTCTCTGGGCGACGGGTGCTGAATAAGAAATATGCACTGTGCTTGGGCCGCCACTTGTGGTGAACATTGAGTATCGTCTAGAAGGGGATGGGGATGAGGATGGGATCGGTTAAACGATACCGAAAAATACACGAAATAGTATAGTGGATATTAAGTGGCCCTGACTAGAGACGGAGGGAAGAGCAGCGCCGAAATAGTACTTTCTCCTCCTCTAGCGTCCAGCACCCGGGCTTCGAGGGCAGCCCATGGTGGACCGCGGCCAAGGGTGCCCCGTCGCTCGTCTCGAGCTGGGCCTTCAGCTGCGCGGCCGTGGTGCTCGGCTCGGGCTCGCGCTCGACGGCCTTGCCGGCACAGCGCCGTCGTCGTCGCGTCTGCGTCTGCGCCGGCGCAGGCGGCGATGTCGGCGTCGGCGTCGGCGTCGGCGTTTGCGTCGGCGTCAACGTTTGCGTTTGCGTCGGCGTCGGCGTCGTCGGCGGCGTCGTCGTAGTCGTCGTCGGCGGCGTCGATATCATAATCGTCGTCGTCGTAATCGTTGTTGTCTTCGTTGTCCTTGTCGTCGTCGTCGTCGTCGTCGTCGGCGTCGGCGTAGGCGTCGGCGTCGGCGTCGGCATCGGCGCTGGCGTCGGCGTCGGCGTCGTCGGCGTCGGAGTCGGCGTTGGCGTCGTCGGCGTCGTCGTCGTTGGCAGCATTGTCGCCCGAGTCGGCGCCGCCGAGATCGGCATCAGCGGTTGGCGGCGTCGTCGTCCGAGTCGGCATCGCCGCCACCGCCATCGGCGTTGGCGTCGGCGTTTGCGTCGGCGTCGGCATCGGCGGCGGCGTCGTCGTCGTCATCGTCGTCGTCATCGTAGTTGTCGACGGCGGCGTCGTCGTCAAAATCGTCGTCGTCGTCGTAGTCGTTGTCGTCTTCGTTGTCGTCGTCGTCGTCGTAGTCGGCGTCGCCGTCGGCGTCGGCATCGGCGTTGGCGTCGGCGTCGGCGTCGTCGGCGTCGGAGTCGGCGTTGGGGTCGTCGGCGTCGTCGTCGTTGGCAGCATTGTCGCCCGAGTCGGCGCCGCCGAGATCGGCATCAGCGGTTGGCGGCGTCGTCGTCCGAGTCGGCATCGCCGCCACCGCCATCGGCGTCGTCGCCGTCGGCGGCGGTGTCGTCGTCCGGGTGGGCGTCGCCGCCGCCGCCATCGGCATCAGCAGCGTTGTCGCCGTCGTCGCCGCCAGAGCCTCAGCCAGGGAAGCAGCAAAGTGATGCAATGAGGATGACGACCAACAGAAAACACGTGGGGACGATGACGCAACCCAATATCTTACCGCCGGGGGGTCGATTTTGGAAAGGACGACCAAAAAACAGCAGTGACGACGACGACGCCCAGGAGCAGGCCTGGAGTTTAAGTTGTTAATAACCGCCCAGGGCGGCCCTGCGTGACGAGACCCGCCCGGGCACTCTTCGGCGCCAGCCTGGAACATATCCCTATCCCTATGCTGGGCACCTCCTCATCACGATGCCAATCTTAGGGATTCCCTTATCTTTTGAGGGCGAATCCCTAAGATTGTCATCGCCTTCTGGCGTGTCAATCTTAGGGATCGGTAATCTTCAGCGCCATCCCCAGGGTACCACAGCCGCTCCTTCCGTCGACCCCTCCGGGGGGCACATTCCGCACAGGACTCCGAGGGCGAGAAGCCAGCCGTGGCGGCGAGAGGCCCCCCGCAGGAGGCCCAGCGAGGCGAGGGCGAGGCAGCGGTGTCGGTAAAGGCATGTTCTCCTGCTCCTTCTCTCCTCCTTCTCCTCTCCTCCTCTTCTCCTTCTCCTCTTCTCCTCCTCCTCCTCTTCCTCCTCTTCTCCTCCTCTTCTCCTCCTCTTCTCCTCCTCTACCGCCGAATGCCCTGATGCCCAGGAGTTCTGGCGTCGAAGGGCCTGCACGCGATGTTCGGTGGCAACTCATGGGAGCCTCCCGTGCCCTCTTGCTGGCTCTTGCGAATCGACGCTAACCGCTCGACGCCAATCAACGCTACGTCAACGCCCAGTCGGCGCCAAACCATCGACGGCCAGACGCTCATCGACGCTAACGCACCCTAAGCACGGCGTTCTGAGGACCTACCTGACGAACGTACAACACACAACACACAACACACAGCACACACACACAAACACACACACACACACACAACACAACACAACACAACACAACACAACACAACACAACACAACACGACACAACACAACACAACACAACACAACACAACACAAGACAAGACAACACATCACAACACAATACACACACCCATACCCAGAGGGGGTTGGAGGGAGGAGGACTGACTATGGGTATGGGTGCGGGTCGCCGGACCCAAGAGAGGCTCCCGTTCGAGCAGGGACCCCAGTCCGACACACGCACCCACGGCCTGCTTCCGCCCTAGGGTATGAGTGTGTTCCTCGCTCCGCGCCACCAGGCTCCCACGATTTGCTACCGAACGCAGTGGGTGACCCTAGGCAGGAGTGGCCGCTGGTGCGCGGCGTCCCGATCGCTGCGTGCGGCTGTGGCACGATGCGGCCCGCGTGCGTCGACGTGCCCCCGTCACCACCCGCGCACCTCGAGCACCGCGCACCAGAAGTCACTCCGGCGAAGGGTCACTCATCCGCGCAGCCTTCGGTGGCAGCTCACGGGAGCCTCCCATCCAAGGGCACGCGAACAGCGATCTTGGTTACAGCCAACCCGTAGCATCAGGATGCGCGGTAAGGATGCAAGAGCCTTGGAGGGCCACGTGAGCGTTCTTCGAACAAGGCTGGACAGCGAGAGTTGCTAAGGACGGGCCGAAGAGGCAAGGCAAGGATGCAAGGGTGCCCTTGGGAATATTGCCCGTCCTTACTATGCGGGTTGACTGTAACGGCGATGTTTGTAATATTTTTTTTGCGACGCCGACCTCGCGCAGAACAAGTTGTAGGAACATGCAAGCACTCCTTTTCTACAAGCGGCTTGGCCACGAACCACAACCACCTACAATACCGAAACCTGCAACGTCGTTGCTTACATCGCCGTTAGCGCGTCTACGTCCCATACCATCTTACAGGGTCTTGAGTCGACGCTGACAGACGGCAATCTACGCTAATCGACGCCAACGACGCAAATCGGCGATCATCGACGCTGATCGGCGCTAAATCGGTGCCTTCCCATAGAAATGACCAGACGCTTGCGCACGCGAATGCATCCGAACGACGGAATTGCGAGTACAAGGGCCCCATGTCTTGCTATAAAATCGATCGCCCCGCTTCGTGCATCTGCCCTGAGACCCGACGCCGCGACAAAACATGCAACATCGCGAAATATCACGACCAGAGCCATAAATCCGATCTTTCTGCGGCATTTTTAAGCCAGGTCGAACTGTGATTGCCCCAGGGCCCGAAACCAGGCGAAAAATCGCCCGGTGTGAAAGAAATGCAACGCCTGGATCTCAGGGCTCGATCCCCCCATTCAGCGCCGCTCTCAAACCGAAATGCCCGACGTACATCGCGAAAGACCGCGATCAAAGCCCCAGACCTTATCGTTCTGCGGCATTTCTCGCGAGCCGGACCGATCTGTGATGGCCTTTGGGTCCGCGACCGGGGGTCAACGCCCGGCGTTCGGGGATGAGTTTCGTTTCACCGATCCCCATCCCCAGCGGCGTGGCCTGGCCCCCCTGACCGATTGCCCCCCCCTGGGGATGTAGGTCGTTCCCTTCGGGTTCCGAGGGGTGTATCCCCAACTGGGGTGGCAATTTGGTGGGGGTCTCCCAGGGGAAGGGGATGGGGACGGGGATCGGATAAACGATACCGAGGGGACGCACTAAATTGAGCAAGGACCGACCGTCCCGGCATTCCTGTAGTCCTACCACGAAATGTTATCAGAACCCCAAAGTGCTCTAAGAACACAAGCAGTGTTCTTAGAACATAAACCCGATGTGTTACAACAGCACAGACTCAGCCAGAAATGTTCTTAGTACATTTCGTGCAAACCACAAAAGGTTCTTAGAACATTCTTTGGTAGGCATTTTGGCGAGCCGGGACGCTTCGCCACTGCTTGACTAAACAAACCCAGGCCCCAGCCAGCGCAAGTCCCGGCCAGCCGGGGCCACGTCGCGAACCCAGGCCGGTCACGTAGTTGCTCCCCAAGACCGGGGTCCGCGGAGGGCGGGGGAGCGGGGTCGGCTCCTCCTCCTCCTCCTCCTCCTCCTCCTCCCCACTCTTCCCGCCTCCTGCTCCTCCTCCTCCTCCTCCTCCTCCTCCTCCTCCTCCTATTCCTCCTCCTCCTCCTCCTCCTCCTCCTCCTCCTCCTCCTCCTCCCCACTCTTCCGCCTCCTGCTCCTCCTCCTCCTCCTCCTCCTCCTCCTATTCCTCCTCCTCCTCCTCCTCCTCCTCCTCCTCCTCCTCCTCCTCCTCCATCCTCCCCCAAACCTGGGTCCGCGGAGGGCGGGGGACGTGGCTCCCAAACCCGGCCCAGCCAGATGACCTCAGGGGAGCTTGCCCGATCCCCGTTAGCGCGGACCCCTGTCACGTGAGCCCCAAGGTGCATCGCCCAGATTTCAGGGGAGTCCCCGCCCTCGCCGGTGTGGTTGTCTCAATCGGCGGCCCCAAATGTCCCGACCCCCTTTCCCGGGGTTGCTGTTTGCCCCCGGATCCGCTTGGATGGGCCTGGGGCTCGATAACTGTACAGGCCATCTGAGAGCAACGTACAGACAACGAAAAGACTGCAACGCCCGGATCTGAGGGAACACCCGAAACTGGCAATCCGCTCCAAAATGAATGCCAGGGCCCCTCCTGGGGTCCTGTGGCCAGTTTGTCGAGCTGCGTCCAGCCGCGGCAACGGAGGGACACCCGCGAGACCCCAAATGGCTCAAACCTTGGGGAGACCAACAAGTACCGATACCGCTGCTCCCTGGACCTCTCCCGGGAGTGCGTTCCGACCAGGATTTCCAGGCGAAGCCAGCGGTGGCGACGAGGGCCTCCCAGGGGGCCCGCAAAGGGGAAAACGAGGCAAGGGTAACTAGAAGAAGAAACAACTGCAAAAGCATAAACTTTTGGCGCTCCGCGCGGATCCCGAAATTTCACGTTTGCGCCGTTGTCTCTTCTTTGAGTAGCGGTATGGGTACCTTCGCAGACATGCGACGTCAGGATTTTTTCAGGACGGGGTCCCTGCATGGAAGTCCCGACCCTTCACCCGGGACCAGCTTTTCATCCTGAGTCGTTTTTTGACGCTCCAGAGGCCCAGCGAGGGCCCCGGGAGGCCGAAAATGGCAACAACAAAAAAAAAAACCTGTCGTCACGACTTTTCCACGACGCGATCGTGTCTGGGTTTTCCTCCTCCGACGATCCTACCGATCACGCTCGCCGACCCGGCTGCCGGCGCGGCCTCCACCGCCTCCGCGGCCGGTGCTGGCGCGGCCTCCGCCTCCTCCGCGGCCGCCGGGGCCTCCGCGGCTGCTGCCGCCGAGGCCTCTGCGCCGGGCTGCGTGCCCGCCTCGTCCCAGAGCCCCTGCGCAGGGAGAGCAGGAATTACACCAAGGGGTTAAAGCCTCAATCAGTGGGTGGTTTGGATGGTCCTCGCCCCAGACCCCCTCGAGTCATGAAAAAATCGCGACGGAAGGTTGTTCTGTATTTTCCGCCTCTGGGGGCCCTTACCGGCCCTCGGGACCGTCAAAAAACAACTCAGGATGAAAAACCGGTCCCGGTGAATAGGTCCGGACCTCGGGGTCGCGTCATGAAAAAATGATGACGTCGGGGGCTGAGGAGATCGACCGGGAACCCGGGAGCCCAGGAACCCAGAACCCACCGAAATCGGCCCGGAACCAATAACAGGGAACCCGGGAACCCGGAACCGGGAACCCGGGAACCCAGCCTGCTACCAAAATCGGCGGGAAACTTTCGCCAAATCTTTCAACTTCAGCTAGGACCCCTTCAGTGCAAGCACTGATTGGGAAAAAAAAAAAAAGCCTGGTGGTCAACATCCGACTCCTTGTGTGTTGGTCTCGCCCTCAATGTGATACTAGATTGGCGAGAGCAGACAGAGCGGCTGATGGACAAAGTCCGACGCCTTTTATGTTGGCTTCGCCCCCCCTCGGATAATGGATTGGCGGCCTGCGACGCCAGGTGCCGATCTATCGACTGCCCGAAAGCATGCACCCCGCTGGCGATGCCAACCCACATTGGATCGGGGGCGCGGGGGGGCGCGTTGCACACTGGTCGCGCGGGCGGTGCAAGATTCCACCCGTCGACTCAAGCGCCATCATGGGCGAAGCCATCTAGGAAACGCAGCCAAGGAAGGAAACGAACAGGGCAGGGCTACTGAGTACGGTGAGGGCATTGGATAAGGAACCATCCGACAAGGAATCTAGGGTCTGGAAGGCGGTGGAATTCCAATTGAGACTTGGCCATGGAAATCATCACCGCCCTCATCAGATAAGGATCCCCGCAAGGTCTGAAGCCACCCAAAACTCATTCCTTAATCAGACCCCCACCGCACGGAATGATTGGGGTCGGGGTGGCTTTCCTCCCTGAACTAGAGAGCAGGAGGACCACCCTCATCAGACACACCCCGGCAAGCGAAACCGTTTTTATAGCGAACGCACCGAGGGAAGGAATATCGAGCAGGGCAAAGCTGCATAGTAAACGCCTAGGGTCGTTTAGTCCCCATCAGGGGGGTAGTGACCGAAACTCTGCCCGAGAATCTGCACGAGCGTGACCGACACCAGCGCACGAACTTGTCCAAACGTGCCTGGGTGTGACAAGCAATTTGGTCCGATACCGATGCGGTTCTCAAAGCTGGCAACAAATTCGGTCACACTACGTTTGCGGTGACAATTCCAGACACAGATTCGGTAACCGAGTTTGTTCAGCCCCAGACCTTTTCGGCTGATAGGGGCTGGCTGGGCGACATGAAAACAGCCCTCCGAAAACAGCCGTATAGCAAACAAACCCAAGGAGGGAGTCGAGCAGAGCAGGGCTGTTCAGCAAACGCCTGGGGCAGTCCCGCAGACTCCAGGCATGGGGGTCGGCGTGGTTTGTCCCCCCTGGGCCTGCAGCTGCGACTGGGGCTCCGGGCTCGACTCCTGGGCACCAAACCTCCGACGGTGTGGCTTCCTCGGTCTGGGGCTGCGTGCTTCTCGATTTCGAGCTCTGGGGCCCGTCGACGGTCGGCGACTCCGAAGGGCGTGGCTTGCAAAGGGTGCGGTCTGCAACGCGCACCCTGGGGGGCGGGCGAGGACCTCGATGGAGTTCTCCGCCACTTCCCACGAGGAGGCCCGACGAGGACCATTCGTGGTGCCCCCCGCAGCCCCAACGACGCAGCTCGCAAACCGCTCCCCGGCGTTAACACGCACCGTGTAGTCGCCGATTCGGACTGCAGGGCCATCCAACATTTGTCCGCGCGCTAGGGGGAGGGGGGAAGGCTTCTTAGTGCCCCTGGGGGAAGGGCTCGGGACTTCTGGGGCCCCACATCCCCAAGAAATCGCACCGTCGGATGTCTGGGGCGGCCCCGGCTGCTGCCTGCCCCGCCAGAGGGCCAAGAGCCCGAAGCACAAACAACCAGAAGTCCGCGACCTCTCGTCCGGAAGCCTCTGGAGCCTTTCCTTCTGGGAGCTCCCTTATCCCTCGCAGGGGAAGGAGAATGTCTGAGGCACCGGGAAAAACTTTCCGACTCCGCAGTCGGCCAGCCGGCCAGCCAGAGTCGGTCAGAGACGGGAGGGGGGCCAGACACTTCATCCTGGAGCCCCAGACCATGTTCCTCCGAGGTGGAGGACTTCGAGGGTCGACCTCCGAGGTGGAGGACCTCGAGGGTCGGCCCCCGAGGTGGGGGACTACTGCCTCGGGTCGACCTCCGAGGTGGAGGACCTCGATCCTCCCAGGGGCGTGTGCCGAGAAGCGGGGGCGGGCCGGGGACACGCGGCGCCGCGTCCTCTGCCAATCATCATGAGGGTGTGTGTGTGTGTGTTTCTCCGCTGCATCCGCCGCTGTGCTGCATGTTGTGTTGTGTTGCGGTTGATTTGCAGTCGGGCCGCTGAAATAAGGGACGCCAGATGATAAGGAGCGTATCCCCCTTTAGGCCACAGAACCGCCTTCGTTCACGAGGAGGGCCAGAGGAACAGCCATGGAAGGACCTACGGAACATCCAGCGCCTTCCGAACCCAATATGTTCATTGTTTCAGCGTCTTGACTGTATATCGGCTTGCTTTTGTTGCTTTGTTTGTTCGAGCGTCTCCCGCCCCGTTTCCCGCACACATTATGTCTCGAGCCAACGGCCCTGTCTGGAAGCACCGACGAGACAGCATCCGCTTCCGCATGTGCGAGCGTTTCGATGTCCACTTTGGCACACGCCGCCCGATTCTGGCACAAGCCAATTCTCCTGATCGTCGTCCGAAAGTGGCTGGGGCTCCTCTTGGCGGCGCGCAGAGGGGGGTTAGGGGGAGGGGGAAAGGTTTCTTAGAAGCACCCCTGCTTCTTAGAAGGCGCGGGCCTTGTCTGTAAATGCCAGGCCCGCGGCTTTTAAGAAGCAGCCTCCTTCTAAGAAGCCTTCCCCCCTCCCCCGATTTGTCTCTAAGTTTTCAAACTCCTCCTCCTCCTCCTCCTCCTCCTCCTCCTCCTCCTCCTCCTCCTCCTCCTCCTCCCCCATCCTCCTCCTCCCCCTCCTCCTCCTCCTCCTCCTCTCCTCCTCCTCCTCCTCCTCCTCCTCCTCCTCCTCCTCCTCCTCCTCCTCCTCCTCCTCCTCCTCCTCCTCCTCCTCCTCCTCCCTCCTCCTCCTCCTCCTCCTCCTCCTCCTCCTCCTCCTCCTCCTCCTCCTCCTCCTCCTCCTCCTCCTCCTCCTCCTCCTCCTCCTCCTCCTCCTCCTCCTCCTCCTCCTCCTCCTCCTCCTCCTCCTCCTCCTCCTCCTCCTCTCCTCCTCCCTCCTCCTCCTTTCTCCCCCCTGGTGCGCGCCGCCAATCCTCGGCGGCAGCTGCAGCCGTCTGCGGCGCCGAGTCCGCCTCGTCGGAGGGCTGCTCGGGCTTGGGCTCCTCGGCGGCGGCCGGAGCCGCCTGCGCCTCCGAGCCCGCCTCGTCTGAGGACTGCTCGGGCTCGGACGCCTCTGAAGGGGGCCCAGGGGCACACAACTGAAGGCATACAACTCCCCGGATGCCCCATATTTGTCCATAGTTGTTGGCTTTTCGTCTTCACCCCCACCCATTCCCACAGTTTCGCAGGTTTGCCTGGGAATCGACGATTAATTATGTGTCTGTGTGTGTGTTTTCCCTCCTGAGCCTCGGCGTCGTCCAACTTGTACGAGACGCCCTCACCCTCAGAGGCAGCTGGAGCCGGCTGGGACTCCGAGTCAGACTCGTCTGAGGGCTGCTGGGGCTCAGCCTCCTCGGAAGCGGCTGGAGCCGTCTGCGCTTCCGAGTCCGCCTCGTCTGAGGGCTTCGTCGGCTCAGGCTCCTCGGAAGCGGCTGTAGCCGGCTGCGCTTCTGAGTCCGCCTCGTCTGAGGGCTGCTCGGTCTCAGGCTCTTCGGCGGCAGCTGGAGCTGGCTGTGTCTCCGAATCAGCATCATCTGAGGACTGCTTGGGCTCGGGCGCCTCGGCGACATCCAACTTGTACGAGACGCCCTCACCCTCAGGGGCAGCTGGAGCCGGCTGGGACTCCGAGTCAGACTCGTCTGAGGGCTGCTGGGGCTCAGACTCCTCGGCGGCAGTTGCAGCAGGCGAGTCCGCCTCGTCAACTGAGGGCTGCTTGGTAACAGACTCCTCAGCGACAACTGGAGCTGGCTGCGCTTCCGAGTCCGCCTCTTCTGTTGACTGCTTGGGCTCAGCGTCGGCGGCAGCAGCTGGATTCGGCTGGGTCTGCGAGTCCGCCTCGGGCTGAGCCTCCTCGGCGGCAGCTGCAGCCGGCTGCGTCTCAGAGTCCGCCACTTCTGCGGGCGGCTGGGCCTGAGACTCCTCACCGCTGCCTGGCAGCTGAGACTCAGAACCAGTAGCAGAGGCACTCGCGTTGTCCTTGCGCTTTTTCTTCCCGAATGGCCAGATCTCGTCCTGCGCTGCGTTCTTGGCACGAAGAGCGTTGTGTTTCTGGTGCTTGTGCTCGGCATCGCCGCCGGCCTCTGCGAAACCCAGGGCATCCGTCTTCTCTTCCTCCGGCTTGTCCTCCGTGTGGGGGTTGGCCTTCATCATCTTGAGGATCTTGATACGTTCTACCATCTTCACCACCTTCGGGTTACGATTGACCTGGAGCTTGGTCTGCCCAGCCTGTGTCAGGGCCGCCTTCTTCTCCATGAGGGCCGCTCCAAGGGCGGCTAACTCGTTGCTTACGGCAACGGTATTTGTTGCGCCTTCCTTCTTCTCCCTCACTGCCTTGTCCTCCGTGTGGGCGTTCGCCTTCTTCGCCTTGAGGAGCTTGATGCGTTCTACCATCTTCACCACCTTAGGGTTCTGGTTGATCTGAAGCTTGGTCTGCCCCGCCTTTGCCAGAGCCGCCTTCTTTTCCATGAGGGCTGCCCCCAAAGCTCCAAGCTCGTCGCCAGGCTTCTCCGCCTTTTTCGCGCCCGTTGACTCGACATCCTGCTCGGTCTTCTCGACCACGGGCTGTGCGCCGCCTTCCTTCTTCTCATCCTCCTCAGGTTTGTCCACCGTGTGGGCGTCGGCCTTCTTCGCCTTGAGGAGCTTGAGGCGTTCTACCATCTTCACCACCTTAGGGTTCTGGTTGATCTGAAGCTTGGTCTGCCCTGCCTTCCTTAGGGCCACCTTTCGTTCCTCGAGAGCCGCCTTCAGGGCTTTGAGCTCGTTGGCCTCCTGTTCGGCTTTCACCTCGACATCCTTTGCGTCTTTCGCCCGCGCGCCCGTGTGCCCGGCACGGCGCTTGCCTGGAAGGAGAACAGACGCCCACGCACGTCGTACCCCTCCTCCCCTCCTCCCCCCTTCCCCATTCTGAGAGGGGCAGGGCGAGGAGGGAGAGCAGAGAAGGATGTCGAGTTCAGGAGAGGGGTGGAGAGGCCCCGATCTGCTCAACACGCGGGGCTCCAGAACATCTCGTGTGGATCACGGCGCCGCGGGTACCCAGACATCCTGCACATTGGTTTGTCCATATGGGCTTTGAGTCCTCCACATTATTGTTACGGTCCTACGGCCTGGCGAAGACTTGGAGACCCATGTGGGACCTGCCCTGGAACGGGAACACACTGTAAAGTCAACCCGTACAATAAGCACACTGTAAAGTCAACCCGTACAATAAGGCCTTGGAAGGCCGCGTCGATACTTTGCGAACGGAGCGCGGCCAGCGAAAACGGCCAAGACTGGACCGAAGGAGAAGGATGCAATGTTGACTGTAGGCGGACCTGACCTCTCTCCAACCTTGTACGGCGTCGGACGCAACGGCCACGTTGTCTATAGACGTGTCCACCCTGCATGTGTCAATGATTGTCTATGTACGTAACGACACCCAAGTGTGAATAGGCGTTTGTGGCTAGAAAGTGAGAACGGTACTTGGAATAGGCCCAGATATCATTGGCCTCCTGGAAACAGGTAGTCGTGGCCCTCCAAGCGAAGGCCCCCCCGAGGCCGAAAACGGCAAACAACATAAGTTGCATTCCGATGCGATGGATGCCTGGGCCTTAATTGATGCAAAAAACGCTGGGGGCGTGTTTCGTCCGAATTCAACTTTCTGCTATCAACAAACCTGAACGGGCAAAACGACGGCAATCTACAACGGCGGTACACAACGGAACCGAACCGAACACGGCGCGAACGAGAAACCCACAGACGTTCCAGCATTGACCCCGAAACGGGAAACAACTACCTCCCCCAATGCTTGTAACATCACGTGCGGGCTGGGCACCTTGTGCGGAGCGCGGCGCCGCGCGTACCGTGCCGTGCGGGCCGCGCATGCTGCGCTCTCCACACACCCTGCTGAGCAAGCGCGGCCTCCGTCGCGCGCCCCCCCCCCCGCCGGGGCCACGAGGGATGCGGTATCCCAGACCCCAATCGAGTCATGAAACAATCACGACGGGACAATTTCCCGATGTTCGGCCTCCAGGGGCCATGCGTCAAAAAACGGCTCGGGATGAACAGGTGGTCCTGGGGAATGGGTCGAGACCTCTGGGAGTCGACGTGATGAAACAGAAATGACGTCGGAGGTTGGGATCGAAGACTGACAGAACACCCTTGAGCAAAACGCCTGTTCGTGGAAGCTTCCAGGGGAACTCCACGCGCGCACGGCACCGCACTACGAGTGGACCTGGACGGGGTAGCTACACTCGACGTCGAAAACGAGCGAACGCATCCATGGACTACACGAATTTGGTGCGCGGCTTTTGGGGGCCGCGCGGACAAGCGCGTAAGACGCATCCAGCAAGACACACGTCTTGGCGGCGCGCACAAAGGGGGTAAGAAGAGGGGGGAAGGCTTCTAAGAAACAGGGGTGCTTCTAAGAAGCCTTCTCCCCTCCCCCTACCCCCCCTACCCTGCGCGTGGCCGAACGTCGATTACGGTGAAGGCTTTTTTTTTTATCTGCGTGGGCGCCGAGCGGGCTCGGCGGATTCTTGCATAAATTCAAGGCGGGGAGGCGGAGGGCCGCGCGGGCGCTTACAGCCGCCTGCCGAGGCCGCCTCAGCCCGCGGCGCGCGCCCCCGCGCGGCCTGCGCGGGCGGCCGCTGCCGCCGCGGCTCGCCCGCGCACGCGGGCCGCCGCTGCGTCCGCGAAGCCGTGGGCTCCACGTGCCCCCTCGAGCCCTGGGCGGGACCGCCGCGGCTCGGCGGCCTCCTCCCGCGGGGCCGCCGCGGCCAGCCGCCGCGTAGCCGCGGCGCACGGCGGCGCAGCCGCCTGGCTCCCAGCGCCAGCCGCAGGCGGTGGGGGCTGGGCGGCTGCTGGCAGCCGCTGCGCTGGCACGGGCGTTGCCACGAGCGCCTGCCCCTCCGCGCCGTGGCCCTGTCTGGCCTGGAGCGCCGCCGCCCAGCGCCGGCGCGTGCACTCCGTTGGCGAGGCCAGCGGCGCGATCGGCACCTTCGACGCTGGCAGGATGCCGCGAGCGAAGTCCGACCGCGCCTGGGCTCTGGATCCCTTCTTGCACTTGGGCTGCCCAGCCGCCGCGCTGGCCCCGCACTGCTTGCCCAGGCCGCGGTGCGCGTGCCTGGGGAGGCGGCAGTGCATCCAGCAAGCCGCGCAGACCAAGAAGGGCTCGGAGTCGTCTCCTTCGACTCTCGACTCCATGAGGAGGTGGCCGTTGACCCTCCATCCCGCTGGACGGGCTGCATCAGCCGCCTCCGCAGTGGCTGGTCCGCTGCTCGCCGCCTCCGCCGCCAGGCGCGGGCAGGGCGCGGGGGCTGAGGCCTCGCGGCGCCTCGGCTGCACCTGCGCCCTGCGCTGGGCGACACGTCGCAGGGCATCCGCGGGCGACTCGGCCGAGGCGGGGCGGCGCCTCATGGGCGAAGGGCGCGAGCTGGAGGCGCCAGCAGCCGCCACCGCTGCCAGGGCCGCCGCCGCGGCGAGGAGGGGGCCGCCATCAGCCGCCGAGGCCTGCGCCTCGGCGTAGCCACCGCAAAGCTCCGCGTCGATCTCCTTCACGTTGCCATCGCCATACAGCGCGACGTGCTCCGCGTCGCGTGGCGCCTGGCGAACCTGCCGCGGGCGGCGCACCAAGGGGGCAGCTGGGGGCGGCAGGCTGCTGTCTGCAGGCCGCGGCGGCTGCCCAGGACCTCCGCCAGCGGCGTGCCCGACAGCGGCGGCTGCCTCGCGGCCCTCGGGGAGCTCGATGGGTTCCGAGATGCCGCTGCCGCGCACCAGCGCCGCGCCGTCAGGAGCAGCCAACAGCGCGTCCAGCCCCGCGATGCCAGCCGCGCGCACCTCCACGTCGTGCTTCTTCCCGAACTGGCCGCGCCCCTGGGACTGCAACTTCGGTGGGCTGAATCCACCTGTCCCAGGGGCGGGCTCCGCCGCGGCGGCGAACAGGGGGTCGGCCTCGCCGTCGAGCTCCGCCGCAATGTAGGGGGTGAGGTCCCGCAAGCCCGACTCCGTGTCCTGGACCTCGAACTCGGCGGCGAAGCGCGCCGCGAAGCGGGTGCAGGCCTGGCAGCCCTGGAGCAGGCGGGCCTCCTCGTCGGCGATGGCGCGCATCGCCGCGCCCGCCTTCGCGAGCTGGCCCACGAGGCGGTTGCCGAAGAGCTCCACCTCCATGAGGTCGCCCCGCTCGATGGCCGCCCGCGAACGGGAGGGGATGAGCTTCAGGGCAGACGGCGCCGCACCCCTCGCCTGCACCACCCACTCGCCAACGGTCGTGAGAACCGCCACCGACCAGACCGCGCTCCTGATCATCAGGTCGTTGTTGACGCAGGAGCCGTCCGTGAAGACGAGGGTGCCCGCGGGCACCACGAGTGCGCCCGCGTCCCAGCCGCGCGAGCGGCGCTCCCCGCCAGGGTCACAGCGCGGCCTCTGCACCTGGTACTGGGCGCCGACGAAGAGGTCCTGGCAGAAGAGCTCCTCGTAGCGGTGGCCCATCAAGCTCACCAACTCGGCAGTTCGCTTGAAACGGTCGTGGTCGGTCCGCGCGTAGAACTTGCCGTCGAGATAGACTGAGGCTGCCCCAAAGCCAAGCTGGCGGGCGAGCGCGAGCCCCAGGTTGTGTGGGTAGACCGCCATGTCACAGCTGTTCGCATCCTTGCCCCAGACCAAAGTGGGCTGGTGGTCCTTCTCCCACTTGACACCGTAGCGGCGGCGCACCCTGCACCAGATGCGCAACCACTTGCCCATGAGGCCGATCGGGCGGCGGCCTCCGTCTGGCTTCCCCAGGAAGAGGAACACCGTGGTGAAGAGGGCCGTGGGCTGCGGCTGCAACACCCATGCCGTGAGCACCTCTGCCATCATATCGGCGAAGGGCCTGCCCTGGGAGAGGACCAGCCGCGGGTGGAACGCATCCCAGCCCAGAGCGGTCTGCTTCGGGAGCGACTTCGCCGCCTCGAGGCTGTCGCCCACCGTGAACGGGGGCAGCACCAAGGAGCAGATCCAATCGGCTGGTCTGGCCCTGTGCTCCCATTCGGCATCTTTCCAGAGGGCCTTCCACTCTATGCGGATCTGGTTATGGGCTTGCTGGAGTACAACGGGGAGCGTCAGCCAGTCGGGGCAGTGCGCGATCACCGAGTCCAGCACCTGATCGTGGTCCTGTATGACATCGTGGGCTCCTTTCGCCCCTTTCGTCGAGGCCACGTCCACGTAGTCCATCCAGCGCAGCCTGGCCGCCTTGGCTTCTTCTTTGCAGAGTCTCGCCGCCGCGCTCTCGATCATCTGCAGGAAGGCCTGCCCTTGCACAGAGGGCTCTTGGATCACCACAGTCAGCGAGTCCAGCTTAGTGCCTTCAAACATGGAGCAGCCCGCCTGCTCGAACTTGGGCCCCAAGCTCTTGGCCACCTGCACCAGGTGCTTCATGTAGCCCCCGTGCCCCTCAGGGGGTGAGCTGACGGCAGCAGCTGCACTGAGCTGCCTGGCGATCCTCCCGAGGCAGCGCCAGCACTTGGTGAGGGGGCTAAGCTTCCTGACGGCCTCCATGCGCTGCAGCTTGGCCAGCTGGAGGGGCTTGGCCTGCGGTCGCCCTGGCTGGGGCTGGGCTGCAGGCTTCGCGGCTGCCGCGGCGCCCGCGCGGCCGCCAGGCGGGCGGCTGCCCGCCGCCTCGACGTTGGCCGCCAGGTAGGCGTGCATGCCGCCGCTCGGCGCCGCCTTCGCCGCGGGGCGGCTGGGCGCCGCCGCCTCTGCCTCCTCAGCCCCGTCTGGGACGGGCGGCGCCGCGCTTACGGGGCCGCCGCCTGGCAGCAGGGTGCTACCCGCGGGCCTGGCCGCTGCCAGCAGCAGCGCCAGCAGCAGGTGGAGGGGCCGCCGCAGC